AGATGAATGCCAAGTAGAGCAACTAAATTGATCAGGGAGAGACAGAAATTATTCTGGATAGTCACATGTCTGGAAGCTGCAATATGTTCATCTCAGCAAACCCATGTAAATAAGAGTATTTTCATTTTTCACAATCTCCCTTCATTTGAGTAACATGAAATATCAAATACACCTAGAGATCAAACAGAATGGCACCATGCATGGTACATGTGACCTATTTAAAAAATTCCTGAGCAGGTACATTTTTCCCCATAGCCAGAACTGCACCTGCAGACCTGGAAAGCGCTTGCCATTTTCCCCATGTAGATCAACATCCTCAGTACAGAAAACCACCTTTGTGAATATTCTTGAGCAAATGTACTGTACCATGGCCCATCTCGGTCTGTGCATAAGTGCCAATGATCTCCAGATTCCAGGCAGGCATGAAGAAGCGGTCTTGTTGTTCCAAGGTTGCCTGGGTGAGTAGGGTGGGCAAGAACATGCCCAGGTGGAGGTCCAGAGGCTCAGGCCGTCCACGATGAATAGAGCTGTGTTGAAATGCCGAGGAGTGGGAATGTGAAGGGAATATTATGGGAAAGAAGCAAGCGTGAGGTTTAAGGTGAAGATGGGAGGGGGGGGAGAGGAAAAAAGAATTGTATTAATGAGAATTTAGCATGCATATTTCACAGAATTATAGCACTGTCCTTTTCTCTGATCTATATTATGAAGAGATCTTGAATACTCAATCATACTGCAGTGCATTCTGATCTTTGCCAAGCAGGACAACATGCGCTGTCCTCTTTAAAATGGAGCTAAAGGTTCCGAATGCAAGTACACATTTGGTTTTAAAATGGATAAGAGGCTGGCATGGATCAGATTGTATTTTAGTTCAAGATGGAGATGGTTAGATAAAACTTATATTGGATCATTCTGGAACTGAGTCAAGTCTACACATCTTTGTCATTTGAATGGGATTCCAGGAAGTACTCAAACCCCTTATTACTCAAAGTCCCACTGTCTGCAGCAGAAAAAGCAATGCTTCTGTCTAAGCATTTCTTAAACTTGTCATAGCTGACAATTTGCTTTGGACATGCAAATTAGACACATGTAGCATATATGGACTTCAGTTCCAACTATGAGCTCTTCTATCCTCCAACACAGCCTGTTATGCTAAATTTTTGTCTGTTCTTTAGAAGCCTTCATACAGAAAAGGACAGTGCTCTGCATAAGCAATCAGTCAAGCTAGTGACCGCAACTGCAGCTGTGTGTGAAAAACATTTATCAGTCAAGGCATTACCATAGCAGAGCCTCCACCCCCACCAAACTAAGCAAACATTCTTCATCATGTGAACCATTATGGATTACTTGTTGTGATCCCTTCCTCTGGGGCATCTGGTATAGGCCACTGTCAGCAGACAGGATACTGGGCTAGATGGACTTTAGTCTGACCCAGTATGACCATTTCACCAGTGGTTTTCAATCTCTGGGCTGCGGTTTGCAAGGGCAAGTTGCTAGCTAGCCACAAGATGCTTTCTTTACCTATGCCTCTGTAGGTATGGATGATTGCAACTCCCATTGGCTGAGGATTGCCTTCCCAGCCAATGGAAGTTGCAGGAAGCAATGTCCCAGTCTGCACTGCTTCCTGCAGCTTCCATTAGCTGGGAATGGCGATCTTTGGCCAAGAGGAGCTGCAATCAGCTGTACTAAACAAATCATCTCATGACTAGCTTGTGGCTTGCTCATATAAGATGTGATCCTCTGATAGAGGCAGCAATAGGGGGAGAAGCAACTAGTCGAGTACTCACTCGACTATCTGATAAGCATATGTTTATCTGGGTAGTCAATTTAAAGGGCTGGAGTAAGAGACAGAATGAACTAGAGTATTCTTTTTTACAGACGGAACTTCCTGGTAACAGCAATTCTTTCCACTGTGGCAGTTCTGGGCTTGTTATAAAGATTCAGCAGAAATTGTTAAACAGCAATATTTTGTAAAGCCCCATGCCTTATATAGTAAACCAGATGGGCTAGACTTAATGGTCACTTTAATGTTAGAAACATCAGGCTTTTGAATGAGTTTCGTGATTGTGAAAGGTGCCCAGCTGATGGTCATGAAGACTGAAATCCTTATTCAACTACATAACAGTTGGTGACAATTGTTCCCCAAACTCCACTTCATTAGTGGAGTTTAGTCTCAACCATGTGCTAAAGAGGACCTCTTTGGAAGGGAGAGAAGGATTCCATGGGCCATTCCAGATCAACAATTACTCCCAAATATGGTTTTAAATGAATCCCTTTATTAGGAAATGGACTAAAAATCAACTTATTTCACGGTTGTTACAGAAGCTATTAATCACTACCATTCTGGGCTACATAAAAACTTCTATTCCATTAGCTATCACTAACAACCAGAGCCACTATAAATATCAAGCTAAAAGAATCTATTGATTAGAAATCAGATATAATCAATGTAGCCTGTGAAATATATTATATAAATTACTCTACATCCATATCAGGAATTCCAGTAGATATGTTAAAAATCAGTTTTTGACATGGAAAGTGTGAGTTTCTAAAATATACCATTACCTTCACTAGCTGTGCTAGATCTGCTCAATCAATATACTAGTTAATCACTGAACACTGGGAACATTACAAGCAAACTGATCCATATATACAAGGAAAAAAGTGGAATTGGTCAGTGACACACAACATGCAAAACAAGTCACTTTTGTAGGACAGGTTTGATTTAAACTTGTGGGGCAAATGAAACAAAATCTGCAAATAATTATTTATTCACAGGATATCATCTTCTGGTCTTTAGCTAGTTTGGCTTAGAGCTGGAGCCTGTAGATTTAAGGGAGTGATGCAAGGAATTCCATCAAGTGACTCTTCTTTGCATTTTCAGCTGGCATAAGTAATAACCACCAAATTAACTGAGAATCATGCCATGGATTTTGCCATATGGCCTGGGAAATTGTCCAACACTGTTGGTTTGAATTCAGTAAGTGTAGAGCCATTTCATTTTCTCAGCTACTGAAACTTTTCTTGCTGAGACATATATTTTGCAGTCCTGGGTACTGTGCTACTTATGAACCCACAACAGGATTCCCTGGATCCATGATCAGTTCTTGTGTTTTGAAAAATGCAGAAAATAGGAACAGGACTTTTTTCTAGAAAACAGGAACTTTCCATGAAAATAAAATGCACTAGGAACAAACAGTGTTTGGAACAGAGCATACCAACAACGAGTCTTTCACAAATATGTGATGCACAACTTCACCAAACTACATGTACCTAAAGACGTATGGCTGAGTTATTCAGCTAACTCATATTTGTCTAACTTTGCAACAATATATCCTAAATTCAGGCACAAACAAAACTACTGCTGACTCTTGTCAGTCCTTGGTGCCATAATTAATAGAATATTTAGGCTTCTATGGGCAAAAGTCTCATCTTGAAATCTTTGTTTTAACAACAATGAAATCAGCAAGCAAGCAGGAGGTGCATTTGAAAAAAAATCATAATAATAACTATTTATGAGTGAGACACTATGTTGTCAACCAGTAGAACTCTAATGTAGTCTTAATGGTCATCTAGCCTTTCCTGTGTGTTTGTGTATGTGTAATTTATTAGCTGGAGTCACAGCACAGAAGTTACCCGCTGGCCTCTAATAGGAACTAACCGTGCCCCATCTCAGTCTGGGCGTAGGTTCCAATTATCTGGAGTCCATAGGTCAGAGGTAGCCATTTGTCTTGCTGAGTAACAGTGCATTGATTCTGTAAGGCGTTTGTAAACATACTGAAGTGAAGACCTAAAGGTTCAACACAAGAGCCCAGGCACATTCTGCAGGAGAGAAAAAGAGGGATCAGGGTCTCAGATTCACTTTAAGTATGATCCTGAATGGACTTTCCTCCGATTCCAACAGCTGTATACAATAGACTCATTTATGTTTTTGGTGTTCAAGAACTTCAAGTCTCAGTAGTAAACCTTAGACTAATGATGATAGATAGTAATTAATAGAATAATTGTGTAACTTCATCAAATTTTAGCGATTACACAATTATTCAATAGTTCCCAGGAGTGAGGACCAGCAGCCAGTGTGCTCCTGGGTCGCGGCCCCACTCCGGGGGAGTCCCTTGCCACCCTGTGCACCAGCCCGAATCCGTGGGAGGGTCCAAGTTCCCCATGGACAAGAGCTGCGCCAGCATCCCACAGAGCAGCCTCTGTCCATAGCAAGCCTGGGCCTGCTACAGACAGAAGCTGCTCCGTGGCAGCCTCACCTGTCCCTGCGCTCCTGCCTCTACCAGAGGCAGCAGTGCAGGGGGTGGGAGAAAGGAGGGGGGTGGACAGGTGCCTCTGTGGAGCTAGCAAGAGAGGAGAGAAGGCTTAAAAGCTGGCTCCCCATGAATATCAGCTCCCACCTGCCCCCTCCCATGCTGCTGACTCTGATAGAGAGACTAACGCTACTGGAAAATAAACCAGTATCTTCTGAAAAGTTCCTTCTTCCTGCAATTTTGGCTCCTATTATATCAATTAGGGATGTAAGGCAAGTAGTTGAGTATTTGACTACCCGATAAACCTAAGCTAATTGGGTAGTAGAGTTGACTACTCAACTATTCACCTGCCCCCTCCCATGCTGCTGACTCTGATAGAGAGACTAACGCTACTGGAAAATAAACCAGTATCTTCTGAAAAGTTCCTTCTTCCTGCAATTTTGGCTCCTATTATATCAATTAGGGATGTAAGGCAAGTAGTTGAGTATTTGACTACCCGATAAACCTAAGCTAATTGGGTAGTAGAGTTGACTACTCAACTATTCACCTC